AAATATGTAGACATAATGTTTGTTGTTTTTTACACGTCTAGGCCTCGTGCAATAGGCCTAGTATCATATGTAGACATAATGTTTTGTTGTTTTTTACACGTCTAGGCCTCGTGCAATAGGCCTAGTATCATATGTAGACATAATGTTTTGTTTGTTTTTTACACGCTAGGCCTCGTGCAATAGGCCTAGTATCATATGTAGACATAATGTTTTGTTTGTTTTTTACACGCTAGGCCTCGTGCAATAGGCCTAGTATCATATTTCCACAAATAATGCACTACATTTCCCTATCTTGGTGGATTTTAGCACTTATTTTTTAACACTTTCACTAATCTCCATATCGCTTCTAAAATTCACTAAACTGATATATATTGGATGCCATTTTTTTTTCTGTCGTGGCTAAGGTAGAAGTTCGTATAAAAGTTAGATTCTCTAGAAATGTCATGACGTAAGACATGAAAATCGTTTCGATGTTTGACGTCATATGATTTTTGTCCGATCCAACCAGTTGTATCTGACTTTGTTGATATTGAAACTTAAGGAACGATACAACTACATAGTGGTAACATACACGAAAAAAAAAATAGTCATATTTGACACAATAAATATAACATTTACGTTATGTTACACAGATAAAAGGTTAATTTCGAAACGTTTTTCATTGCCGTAGGAAGCAGGTTTGGAGTGGCCAGGCCATTGCACATGTTATTTCTAGAGGGATCCGGGGACGTGCCTTCCCGAAAATGTTTGAAAATTTAATGCTACGAGATTCAATCTTGAGTCATTTTTATCTACAAATACTGCATACACACAACGTAATGTATTGAATTAAGAGAAACCAGCTTTAATATATAAGTTGTAGCTATACGTGCCATAGGAAAAGGCCTCCCAATGGCACACCGGAATATTTGTGGACATATAGTGCTAGAAATCGGATGGACAGAGCACTGATGGCCAATTGTGTAGCTTTGTGCTTAACTTCAAACAAACACGCCACGGAAAAGTGGTCAGACGATGGCCAGACTTATCTTACCGCTTCCTACGGCCCTGTTTTTTTATAAATAAAATTGTTGTTACTTACTTAAGTAGTGGAATGATCACGCACAGAGACAGAATAAACAGTTGCATTTCACAGGAGAGATACCAGGAATGAAACAAACACTGAAAAATAACATTGTTGATTAAACAGAGTTTAAACGACTGATAAATAAAAGTAACTTAGCCTGCACACATCGTTTACAAATATTCGTTATTCAGAGACTAATTATATCAATTTATTTTACAAATTAGTATTTAAACATGTCATGTCAAAAATACGAGAAAAATGACTGAAAACAAATTACCTTTTCAAATTCTTCAAACTAAATTGTCAATGAAATAATTTAATAGTATTTTACGTAATAGTTATTTAAATCGTACAATACTTAAAACATTTAAGCTAGTTTTTTTTCATATTTCGACTAATGATGAAAAAATCGTTCATTGATAGTGTTTTCTTTGTATTTCTTCGTTTTTTACACCCCATTTCTTTCTTCTTTATTTATCGACAGACAGAGGAGGATATCTTCGGTTATACCCCTACCCCCAGTGGCACAGCGGTAAGTCGGAATGATTATAACGCTAAAAACCGGGTTTCGATACAGGCACAGATAGTCTATCGTCTAGTTTTGTTCTCAACTACAAACATTCTCTGGTTACGATTGTATGTCAAAAATGTAGATATGTAGAAGGAGGAGAGAAAAAAAAAACATGGACAACTGGAACATGTTGAAACTTGTTTCTTGGAAGTTTTTCACCTGATTAAGTTACCCAAAGTAGCTTTAACACCCGAGTCAGAGTGTGTTGAAAGTCAGCTTTAACACCCGAGTCAAAGTAATGAACTGCAAAAGAAGTGAAAGTCAGCTTTAACACCCGAGTCAAAGTAATGAACTGCAAAACAAGTGAAAGTCAGCTTTAACACCCGAGTCAAAGTAATGAACTGCAAAACAAGTGAAAGTCAGCTTTAACACCC